TGAATCTGTGCATTTAGTGTCTCCTCCCTCTGGACAGAACACATAGTTCAGAGTTTAGATACCGCAAAGCTGGGGGCTGTAGAAATATCCTAACCTATGGTAGATAGACTCCTGCTCTTGTCTAGCCTACTATCGATTAGAGTGAAATTTCCCTGGAGTGGCTCTCTTGACCCTGTACTGTACGGTGTTTTTCTGAGTGTGGTTGTGATGGTAATTTTATTCCAAGACCTGTTTTTGTTAGTGGCCTCAGAATCCCTCGCAAATTGCACATTTAGGCTAAAATGCCGTGTGCCTGTCCTTTAAGGGTTCAGGTCAAATTCACCCCAGGTCCAGATCACTCCTGGCTTTGCAAAACGAAACCCAGATAAGATGAGGCTAACCGAAACTAAAATGCCCTAATTTCGCCCATCTCCGTTAAAGACAGAGGGTCAAATTGTGCTGTCAGTTATGCCACTGTCCATCCTGAGTAACTCGGTTGTAGCGATGGCATTACTAACACTGCTGTCAATCCAGAGTGAGAAAAGAACTTGGTTCAGGAAGTACCTGGGTGAATGTCGTAAAACTGGAGCAAAGTAGTCCGGCTCTTGGAAGGGTTAATCCTGCCTCTTTAATCTGTAGAAGAGGTAGCAAAATAGAGGAGGATGTTAAAAGATCTGACGGATACAATTCATTTCAAAAGTCCCACACATGGATCTGATAAGGAGGTAAAGCCCTGTAATGGATTAAGAACTGTCAGGTAGGAACCAAAGTAAGACTTTAATGAGCACGGAAGGAGGTTAATAGTGTGGTGCCCTGAGGATCAGTACTAAGTGGTGGCTTCTCCTTGGCTAAGGTGCTAATGACTGTAATTCCACTCAGCCTTTCTCACCTTTTGCAGTGTTGGACTAATGTTGGCTTATTGAATCACAAGCAGATCATGTTACCACCTGCAGAGCCTGAGTGAAGCTTTCCATGCTTCCCTTGCTCATAGATTAATACAGGGGTCGGCAACCTTTCAGAAGCGGTGTGCCGAGTCTTCATTTATTCACTCTAATTTAAGGTTTCACGTGCCAGTAATACATTTTAACATTTTTAGAAGGTCTCTTTCTATAAGGTCTATAATATATAACTAAACTATTGTATGTAAAGTAAATAAGGTTTTTAAAATGTTTAAGAAGCTTCATTTAAAATTAAATTAAAATGCAGAGCCCCCCGGACTGGTGGCCAGGACCCGGGCAGTGTGAGTGCCACTGAAAATCAGCTCGCCTACCTCTGGGATAATACCTTGTGGTGCCTGCTGTCTGCCAAGGCTCCTTCTTCCTGATGCTTTGTAAAGTCGGCTCCTCTCCCATCTCCCTACAAGAGGGTTCCTTATAACTTCTACCCTTTCTCTCACCCTTGGGAGAGTTGTCCGGCGTGGTTAATGGTTCACCGAGCTATGTTAGCAGAGGCTGGACTTTGCTGTGCAGAAGTGCACTGTGACTTTATCCTTTATTTTATCAGACACACAAGGTGGGTGGAGGTATATTTTATTGGGCCAACTTCTGTGGGTGAAAGAGACAAGCTTTTGAGCTCAAAAGTTTTGTCTCTTTCACCTGCAGAAGTTGACCCAATAAAATATATAGGACCTCACCCACCTTGTGTCTCTCAAATCCTTTAACCAACACGGCTACAACAACACTGCACACAACATTATTTTTAAGGCCGTTCTAGTTATGTGAACGTACTTATCACTTGTATGTGATGCTTTTCTTCCATAGATCTCAAAGCATCTGATAAGTGTTAAATGTTTGCGATTAGGTTGCTAATACCATGTTGTGGCAAAAATCCGCATTGGGGGGTGTAAATTCTTTGCTCAAAACTGGCAGAATATAAACCGCAGAAGTTAGGCAGTGGGTGTGCTCTGACCACTGCTTGATCAGTGTTGTCTCATTGTTCCCTTGTGCTCCCCGCTACCCGTTTGCTGCATCTGCCTGTTGTTTCGGGTCTTAAACTTGATCTCTGCCCCAGAGAGTTTACAATCTGTATATTTGTGTTTGTACAGCGCCTAACGCAGGGGGGCGCTGATGCATGATTAGAGTTTCTAGGCACTACAATAGTACAAATAGTAGCAATTACGGTTTAAAAGATTTTTAGTCTGTCTTGTAATGTAGCGGACAGCGGTGGAGGTGCCAGAGACGAGGTGGTAGGGCTGAGATTTTCAGCAGCATCCAAGTGACTTAGAAGTATCCCGCTGACAGTCATGGGACTGCTAAAGAAGCAATGGACCTTTGGAAAATCCCATCCTAGCTGCCTAAATATGATTCTAGGTGCCCAATGTCTTCCCGTTTGGGTGCCTAGCTTTAGCCTACGCGCGTGAGTGGAAATGGATAGTTCAGAGGATTGGTGGTTGAGCACAAAGTCTTTTGCTGGTAGGTCACAAGCTCCAATCCAGGCCTGATCGGCAGCTACCACCATTGGGTAGGTGACTGGTAGCTTAGGTTACCAGAAAGAACAAACCAAGTGTTTCATTCTGTCTCCTATGTGGTAGGTGCCCAGGTCATGCAAACTGCCACCAAAGTTAGTGCCTATTTGGCCCTCCTGGTTGATGGTCTCCCCAAGAGACCGAGCAGTATCCTTGGTGTACTAGAATGGTGTGTTTTATTGCTTGCTTTTACAGGTCTCATCTCTCCATTCTCAGGGAATCCTCACTCTTCACAGGGGTTGGGGAGCTCTAACAGGTGTATCTTGTGTTCTCCAATATGCATGTAACACCTAGATGCATGCAATCTTCCTTCCCGGGCTTTTTCCCTTAATGTAGGTATTTACTTTTAAAGCCATGAATTAATTTAATCCCCTTACTCAGAGAGGACCTGATACCAGTACCTCCCGTCTGAGCCTGCCGGATTGCTTCTGGTGGTTATAGGTTGGGTTCTAGGAGTCAGGGCCGGATTAACTTTTTGTGGGCCCGGCGCCAAACATATTTGTGGGCCCCCATTGGGGAAATAGGGCATGTGATGGGGGGCGGTCCACAGAGCGAGGGGCCGGTTGGGGGCAATGAGACGCAGCGCAGCAGGAGTGGCCCCACTCAGCCCAGCACAAGGGCACTGTTTACAAACCCCAAACTGCTAGATGCACATTTATTGGTAATACATGCATCAATCAACACTGTATCATATGCATATGATCTATATTACACTCATGCACTCACATATATATATACATATACACACACACACACACACACACACACACACACACTCAGTCTTGTTATTGTTACCAACTAGTTGCTCCCCTTAACTTCACTGGCCAGGTGAGTGAGTTAGGGGAGGGGTGGAGCCGGGCTTCTGCCAATCTGGATCAATGCTCCGATGTTGACAAGACCCAGGGTCCTCTGCAAGACACCTCACATTTATAGCAGCTTCCCTCTCATGCAAATCTATATCAGATTCAAAATCTGTGTCCGCTGGTCCTTTGTGCTGCTTCCTTCTGGGTGTTGTCCCAATACTGTTCAAAGAGGTTGTTTCCAAAAAAAGGTGCTTGATTCTAATTCCCCCTCCCCTGCTCCGCCCCCGAGGTCATCAATATGTCTGCTCTTTAGTGAGCCCACTTGACAAGTTTGATTGTCCTTGGGTCTGGCTTCCATCCCCTCTCCAACTAGCTGTCTGGAGGTGCTGCTTTCCACGCCTTGCTCATTCACACCTCATTCATTCAACATGCCAATTGATTAAAGGAGTGTGGGGAGGGGGAATCTTATTCTACTCCTAGCAAAAAGACATTTTTCTTCTACTTTAACTATCCTTAGGGGCTATAACATTATACCAAGGCTTAACACAAAGTTTTCTATAAGTTTTTCTACATAGGGATCTGATACAAAGTTCCTATAGCAAAGGGCTTGATACAAAGTTGTATGAAAATAGCTTAATACAGGGTTATATGAAGAGGCATAATACAAAGTCATATAAAAGTTATGTGAAGATGCTTAATACAGAGATTTATCTACAGGTGAGGGGGTGGGGGGTCTAGGTGTAGGTGGTTGGGGCTCAGTGGGGAGGGTGTCTGGGGGGCTCACCGGGGTGGTACAGATGCAGGGGAGGTGGGGCTTGTCGGGGTGAGGGTTTGATGGGCCTGCTTAACAGGGGAGCCCCAGCTGCTGCCAAAGGGATCCGCATGGTGGGCCTCCGTTTCCCCTATTCTAGGGATTGGCAACCTTTGGCACGCGGCCCACTAGGTTAAGCCTCCGGTGGTCCGGGCCAGTATGTTTACTTGCCCCGTCCGCAGGTTCGGCCGATTGCGGCACCCACTGGCTGTGGTTTGCCGCTCCAGGCCAATGTGGGCTGCGAGAAGCCGCGGCCAGCACATCCCTCGTCCTGCAGCCCCCCCATTTGCCTGGAGCCATGATCGGCCGAACCTGCAGATGTGGCAGGTAAACAAACTGGCCCGGCCCACCAGGGGGCTTACCCTGGCGGGCCGCAGGCCGAAGGTTGCTGATCCCTGCCCTATCCCTTTCTCTTCCCCATCCCGTGCCCCTTCCTTCCCCACTGCCTCTGTCCCCCTGCCCTGCCTGCCCCACCACGGGCACTCACTGTTGTACAAGATGAAGGATGGGGAAGGCTCCCAGCACACAGAAGGGAGCTCAACCAGCACTAGGACCCAGAAGGGGGTGTCCAGCTGCAAAGTCCCGGGAGCTGAGCAGCACCTTCTTCTTTCAGCCTGGCTGCGCAGCTCTGCAGGCAGTAGGTTTGTTCCTTCCACCCCCCTCCCCAAAACCCACCCCCGCCTCTTCTCTGCCTCCTCTCCCCAGGTGAGCATGCTGCGGCTGTGCTCCTCCCCCACCCTCCTGCTGGCAAACAGCTGATCGGCGGCAGGGAGGGGGAGGGCGGGAAGGGAGCAAGCTGTGAGAAGAGGCAGGGGAGGGGGAGCTTGGCTGCCCTACTGCAGCAGGAGCCTCGGTGCCAGGAGCACCAAGCTTCTGCCCCCCGCAGGAGAGAGCGGGGGGCGGAGAAGAGTGGCCCTGGTCGGGGGCCCCCCTGGAGTGTGGGCCCAGCTCCATGGCGCCAGTGGCGCCATGGTAAATCCGCTACTGCTAGGAGTGTCTGCTGCAGGCTAGGTGCTGTCCCAGGGGGCTGCAGACAGTTCTGGATCTGAAAGCTGCCTCCTGGCCCGTTTCCATTCAGACCTGTGAAGGAATAATGGCACTGGATGAGTACGGCCTATTCCTCTTCCCTCAGCTGTGAGAGCACGGCAGTCCTGCACCCGGTCACGCAGCCCCACCAACGGTTGTCTTAGCCAGTCCGGGTTCTCCCTTCTGCAGATACTGCCAGTTTTGCCAAATCCCGTAGGGTTTTCATAATGTGGGCAAACAGCTAGACTTGCAGCGGTACTCAAACTGTGGGTTGGGACCCCAAAGTGGGTCACAAGGGCTGGCTTGCTGGGGCCTGGGGCAGCGGGGCTCGGGCTTCGGCCCCCTCACTCGGGGCGGTGGGGCTCAGGCTTGGGCTTTGGCCCCCCACATGGGGTGGCGGGGCTCAGGTGGGCTCAGACTTCAGTCCTCCCTCCTGGGGTTGTGTAGTAATTGTTGTGGTCAGAAGGGGGTGGTGGTGCAAGGTAGTTTGAGAACCCCTGAGTTGGAGGCCTAATGAGCTACGACCATTTTGAATGACGGAAGCTTCCCAAAGAGGGTGGGGCTGGTTTAGAGGGCTGGCTGAGCAGTAGAAAGGGGCAAACAGCCTGTGGCCGCTGGGTTGCTGGGCACCGACATTGGCAGTGGGGGGGTCTGGTGTAGAACTGAGAACTTTCTTTATTCACCGTGTAGCTTCTTGGCCATGAAGAGACTCTGCCAATTGCGTGTGACCCAGGGAACGTGACCCATGGTTATGTGCCAATCAAGGTAGGCTGTAACGAACGGTGTGTTAGGAAAGCCATCTTGATAGCTAAGTGTCCCAGGACTATGGTGTTGAAGGCCGTTAGTATCCAGTGATTGGCCTCTCCATGCATGTGAAGGGTGTTAACGCCGTGGAGGGAGAGAGGTGGCTATATCCCTATATATGAAGACTGGGAGCACACTGTGTGGTTACCAGCAATGGGCTGAAATTCAAGCAAGGCAGATAGAGACTTTACGGCGGGGGGGGGGGGGGGGGTCGGTGTTTCGTTG